TATCCACCAAAATCTTTCGAATGGACTCGCAAGAGATGTTGTGCTCGCTTGCCATCTCTCTAACACTTCCCACACGATTTTTAACCACCAYATAAAATTATAAAGAACTACTTTCCAACCCATCTGCTCTCGCGGGACGGCTGACAAAATCGTAGCTGCCAAATTCCAATTTAATATGACATTTATGCCTCACAAGGCCTCGTCAACTGTCATTTTGATTGCGAGCAAGCCATTTGTCATGAAAATGCACTTTTTGAAGCTTTTACACACAAACCGATTTGTACACAGCAATATATGTATGTATGTATATGTATAAGTATATCAGATTTTACAAAAGTTCCAATGGAAATTTACTCTTATGCAACTAGACATACACGTTTATCAGCGTCTATTGAATTATAACGAGCAGCATGTCAAGAACATTGAAGAAACGCCGTTGTGTAACTGTGCATASGTTTCACAAGTGTGTGTTGCAATTTCACTGACTTTTGTGCGCCCAAAGCGCTTACAAAAGCTACAGTCACATACAGTAAACTCCGTTTAATAGAGTCTCAAAATGTAAGTGCTTATATTGGGGTTTTCAAATGGTTTGKGATATCAATGAAATTCATGTGAAAGTACAGTCGATGCCGTTATGAATGGAACTTGATTTCTTTTATATGTTAACCACGGGCACGCTTCCTGAAGTCCMGATGCTGAAACCAATTTTRGACTGTTTTMAARTATAAATCGAGCGATACTGCTGTAATTTCAAGTTCGATATTCATATGAAGTTCATCAGCGAGCTAGCTTGTTGGCATAGACCATAGAGTTGACGTAGCTCCACAGGAAATAGTCTAACTGCGTCAACTCGCATGACCGAGGCGGCCAATTGACTGCGCCATTTCGTGAGATAACACGTTCACCAAACTTGGTTTTCAATAAACCGATTGTGACATTTGTWRTGTGGCTTGTGGCGCCGTACTGTTGGAACCACATAATGTCCAAGTCCATATCAAAGAATTTGGACCAAATATATTCGGTTATCATTGATCCGTAGCGATTCCCACAGTACACAGCACTGTAACGTGCCGATCTTGATCATCGCGAAAGAAGTACGGCCCAATGATGCCGCAGCCCCATAAACTGCGGCGAACCCTATTTTTTTCGGTGTCTCATGGAGTAGGTGTGGATTGCTGCCTGACCAATAACACATAGTTTGCTTTTTGACGAACCCATTTAAAAATAAATGAGCCTCATCGCTGAAGATGA